TTGTGTGTGTGTGTGTGTGTGTGTGTGTGTGTGTGTGTGTGTACAAGTGTATTTGTGCATGTGTGCTCCGGAGTATGTGTGCATGTGTATGTGTGTTTGTGTGTGTGTGAGATGAAACCTTTCGTAGGTGGATATCAGCTCTTATTTCTATCACCATAAAAGGAAAAATTGAGAGTAAAATGATTTAAATTGTTACAAGAGAGTTTGTTCCCCCTGAAGAAAAGATCACTGAAACAGGGCTGGAGAGATCTTCAGTTCCTAGCACCCACATCAGGTTACTTATTAAACCATCTGTGACTCTAACTCCAGGGGGATCCAGTGCCTCTGGCCTCCATGGACATCTGTACTCACAGGCACGAGTGCGCGCGCACACACACACACACACACACACACACACACACGCACGCACGCACGCACGCACGCACGCACGCGCACACGCACATATAACTATAAATAATAAAAATAAAACTCTAAAACGTGATTACTGAAGCCGGGGTGTGGTGGCACATGCCTTTAATCCCAGCACTCAGGAGGCAGAGGCAGGCCGATCTGAGTTCAAGGCCAGCCTGGTCTACAGAGCCAGTTCCAGAACAGCCAGAGCTGTTACACAGAGAAACTCTATCTCAAAAAACAAAAAAATGGGGGAAAAAAAAAAGATTACTGAAACAGCAATAGGTCACAAGAATGAGAATGGTTTCTGGGATTAGGGAGGTCTCCAGGATTGAGCCTGGATGAGCAGCAGGGTGGAAGGGAGGGGGGAGAGGGGAGCTCTCATAGCTTGTCCTCCTGCCTTGCCCCAGGTATCTGTGATCAATGGGACTAGTCCTTTTGCTCATGACTACGACCTCACTCACATTGTTGCTGCCTATCAGGAAAGGAATGGTGAGTCACCAGTAGAGGCCACTGGGCCACTGCTCAGACTTCCCAGGTGATGGGGTCCATGAAAACAAAGAACTGGAATGGTTTTCATGATGAAAATGACAAACCCAGTGGAGGCTCAGTGATGGGAGGGAGGTGGATGGGCTGACCAGAACTTGTCCTCCATGTCCTGTCTTCAAAGCCAGCCACAGCCTTTCCCACTTGCCACCTACCATAGCCTGGCAAATTAGCGGACCACTCGCCTTTTTTTATCCCATCACTGGTTTAGCTGGTTTCCTCTTATTAATGTGTATTTAAGCCTAATTGAGCTATCCCTCATAGTACACCTATTTAAAAAAAAAAAAAAAAAGCAACAGGGCTGGAGAGATGATGGCTCAGCGGTTAAGAGCAAAGGGTGCTCTTCCAGAGCACTCAGGTTCAATTCCCAGCACCCACATGGCAGTTCACAACTGTCTATAATTCCAGCTCCAGGAGATCTGGTGCCCTCTTCCAGCCTCTGTGAGATACACATAAATAAAAGTAAATTAAAAACAAAACAAAACAAAAACCCAGTGACCATTTACTGTCCTCAATTTCCAGACAGCTGTGGATGATGTGTGTCAGGCAGTTCACATTCATAGCCTGCTAGAAGAGAAGCACCAATCATTCTGACTACAGATAAAGTATTTGTTCCCTAAAGGAGCATCCCCATGCTTGACTTAGCATACCAGGCTGGTGGGCTAACATTTCCCCTACAGGCATCAAAACTGTTTCTTGGCAGCAAGGCATTATAGATGATATCCACAGACATTTTCCAAGTGGAAGGCTTGCAATTCCAGCACTTATTTATTTATTTATTTATTTATTTGTTTTTTTCAAGACAGGGTTTCTCTGTTGCTTTGGAGCCTGTCCTGGAACTCACCACGCTGGCCTCAAACTCACAGAGATCCTCCTGCCTCTGCCTCCGAGTGCTGGGATTAAAGGCTTGCACCACCACTGCCCAGCTGCTACACCATTTTAATGGCTGCCTTTTCTACAAACATAGTATTTCTTCAGTTAGCTCTTCAGCAATGGTAGATCACTTAGATCTTTTGCAAGTTTTTGACATATTGTAGCAGAAGTATTTTGACAAGTATTTTAAATAGTGTGTAAGCAGCTTTGCACATTCAATTGCTCTTTTTATTTCTTTGCATTCTGAAATGCAGAATATCCTTCTGTATTCAAAGACTACTTATATTTTGGTTTAATGATTAATGTTTATGTTGCAGTTACCACTTTCCTGAGTGACCCCAACCCAGTCTGGCTGGTGGGCAGGGCTGCCGAAGCTCCTTTTGTAATCAATGCTGTCATCCGATATCCTGTGGAAGTCATTTCATATCCTTTCTGTTAGCCAGTCAGTGGTGGCTCATTTCCACTAAGAAAGGAAGGGTTCCTTAGCTATCCCAAGTAGGAACAGATGTGGGACTCACAAAATAGGAAATTGTTGCAGCTCTGTAGCCCCCACACAAATGACTGCTATTCCCACAGGAAAGGAAAATCCATTTCCTGTTCCTGCTTCTTTCTAAGCAACTCTTCTGAATCAGAATTATCCATATTTATATCTTAATAATCTCTGGTTATCCATTTTATCTGAAGAATATTTGAAATATTCTTTCTATTTCCCATCTGACCTGAACTTTGGGATAACTGGTTTGTTTTTTGGGTTTTTTGTTTTGTTTTGGTTTGGTTTTTTTGTTTTCCCAGACAGGGTTTCTCTGTGTAGCTTTGGAGCCTATCCTGGCCCTCACTCTGTAGATGACCAGGCTGGCCTTGAACTCACAGAGATCCACCTGCCTCTGCCTCCCGAGTGCTGGGAGTAAAGGCGTGCGCTACCCACACCCTGCCTGGGGTAACTGTTTCTTACACGTAGCCATTGCCTCCTTAACATTTTGCACATACCAGCCAGGCTTCTGGGAGATGATAAAGTTTGCCTGGGTCCAGTATGTCAGCATCCTGCTCATCTTCATCTGGGTGTTTGAAAGAATCAAAATCTTCGTGTTTCAGAACCAAGTAGTGACCTCCATTCCTGTAGCTGTGCCCCAGGGAGAGCTGGGTAAAGAGCATTTATCCTGAGAAGACCACATCAGGAGACTCTGAGGGACCATGGCTACCTCATCCCCATCTTTTGAGAACCACCATTTTACATTTCTGCAAAGAGCCTGCTGGACACTTTCAGGCTTACATGTTTTCTCCTCAGAGGCAAAGAACGGTTCTTTCAACATTGCACTGCACAAACCCTATGCCTTCAGAGCACCAAGGAAATCTACAAGGACGGCGACCAGTTTGTGGAAAGGTCACAGGGTTACTAGAGGCTATGATTTTTGGTTTGTTTGGTTTTGCTTTGGCCTTGAATTTCAGGAGAAAATTGCAGTCAGCTCATACATCTTTGAAAGAGTCCCATCTCCCGTCAGTCAAAGACTTTACCTCTTTTGAACTGGGATGCCCTGTACATTAGCTTCTTCAGGGCTCTCACAAGAAATATGCAATCCCTAGTACTTTCTACTCCTAGGTTTCTATACAGCACTCATTCAGAACTTTGATTTCCAAGACTGAAGTCTTTAACTGGAGAACTGAAGGGGGCGGGGCAGAGCCTAAATACAAGAGTCCCAGAAACATGTGCATGCTGTTGGGTAACTTAAGGGCAAGAGGACCAGACACCTGCCCTCAGGCTAATAGATGGGGCTCTGTCATCAGCTCAGCTGAACAGCCCTCTGTTCCTGCCCTTCCGTGGCTGGCTCTGTGCCCTGTTTCTTGCCCTCTGTCTGTGCCCCTGGGATGACGGCTGAAGTCCGAAGTGCTGTTTGATTCTGTCTGCCCCCCTATTCCCAGCAGCAGGGAAGGATGCCGAGCTTCTAACAACAGGTTCTTTCTCTCTGGCCCTCACCCAACAGCCTGGCCACTTGCCACTCCTCATCTTTGATGGCCTTCCCCTTTTCTGAAAGGATATGGGTTACAGAGGGGTTGGTGGTAGTGTTGGCTTCCATTGCCTGACAACTGCAGGGTTTATTTGGAGGCTGAACTGAAAACTCAGTTGCTTGCAGTTCCCTTGACCAAGGAACAAGGTACTTAGCAGAGGGGAGGCTTTGGAGGAAGCATGAGGAGCAGCAAGTAAAGAGGGCTAAGCAGAGCATCTAACAGAATGACAAGCAGCCAGCAGACAGCCCTCTAATCTAAAGAAATATGGGCAGAGAACATGGCCAGAACAAGCTTCTATGTTGCATAAAAAACTGTTATTTAGACTCATTCTTGTGCTGAGCAATTGTGCAGTCTTAAAGGAAAGGTGGCTCTGTTTATGACTCCACCATGTCAGTAGCCCTGGAAAGCTGCCACCCATGTCTCATGTCTAGCCCCAAACACATTCATCAGTGTATGTCTTAGTTTACCTTGGAGAATCAGTTCTAACTACCAGAGCACCTTTCAGTCAGACTAAGCAGAATAAGCGTTTTGAAAACAAAGTATTCAAGCAGAAAAAACTCCCCTAGTACTAGTTTCTCTGACTTCATATGTACAGATGTTTATATGGCCCGTGTCTTTTTTCTGGAGATTTAAATGAAAAAAAAAATGGTCTCTGAATACAATTCCAAAAAGGTTGTGAGGGGATTAGGGATGTAGCTCAGTGGGCAGAGCGCTTGCCTGAATGCACAGAGCCCTGGGTTCCTTCTCCAGCATCATAGAAAAACTCCATGGTGACACAAGTCTAATAATCCCAGCACCATGGAGGTGGAGGCAGGAGAATTAGAAGTTCAAGCCCATCCTTGAGTTAGAGCCCAGCCTGGGATACTTGAGACCCTGTCTCAATAAAATAAAATAAGGAGATGTGGTGGGGCACACGACCAGAATATACCGTGTGGAAAAAAGATAACAAGATTCAAAAGATGTCCAAAGATACAGACGACTTTGCATTGCATCAAACTATTCCATGCAAAATTTGTATAGAGAACTCAATGACGTTTTATAAGTTTCTAATTAAAATGTCTGGAAAAGAGGTTTCCTGTGGCTTCTGAAAGGCAGGGACCTGGGAGGGGGAATAAGGAGGGAGGCTGCACATGATTTTTTTTTTTTTTTTTTTTTTTTTTTTTTTTTTTTTTTTTTGCAGAGTTTGACTGTCCTGGAGCCAGGCTGGCCTCGAACTTACAGAGATCTGCCTGCTGGGACTAAAGGCGTGAGCCACCACTGCCCGGCAGGGTGCACATGATTCTAAGTGATTCTTCAACAGCCGTGTTCTGACAATGCTCTGCCTAAAGACCTTGAAGCTTTGGTTAGGTCTTTGGCGGCGAACATCTGGTCAGCCAATCCCACATGGCAAATGAGAGCTGGAAAATTACAGCTGTGTTGGGTATTTTCAGATCAGATGTTGGTTGGGTAATTCTGGGCCTGAGTCACACAGAGGGAAAATCGTGGAAAATATACAGAATCGCCATTGGGCCAGACAGCCAGAACTTGAGCTAATTACTGATCGTGGGGAGAACAGGGAAAGGGCTCTGATTCTGTCAAATGATTGGTTCGGTTTCTGTGTGAGTAAGGTGAGGCCTAGGTTAACAAACCTCTCTATTCACTTTTCATTGTCTCTCTCTCTGTCTCTCTGTCTCTCTCTTTGTGTGTGTGTGTGTGTGTGTGTCCTCCTTCCTTCTACTTCTTCACAACCATGCATTTGGAAGTAAGTTTTGTACATTTTTGACTAAGTAAATCCTATCTACTGGAGAAATGTGTAAATTACACAAGCCTTAATGAAATTTATTTTTATTGAAACAGGGTCTTGCTATGTAACCTAGGGTGGCCTTACACTTCAGGTAATTCTTCTGCCTCAGTTTCACAAGTGCTAGAATTATAGGAATGACCTACCAAGTCTGATGTTGAACTTTTGGGTTTTTTTTTTTTTTTTAAAGATTTATTTATTTATTATGTATATAGTGTTCTGCCTGCATGTACGCCTGTAGGCCAGAAGAGGGCACAAGATCTCAATACAGATGATTGTGAGTCATCATGTGGTTCCTTGGAATTGAACTCACGACCTCTCCAAGGGCTGTCAGTGTTCTTAACCTCTGAACAACCTCATCAGCCCAGGGGTTTTTTGTTTTGTTTTGTTTTGTTTTTTCTTTGTTTCCAAAACAGAATTTCTCTGTGTGGTCCTGGCTGCCTTGGAACTCATTGTGTAGATCAGGCTGACCTCGAACTCACAAAGATCCACCTACCTCTGTCTCCTTACTGCTGGAATTAAAGTCATATGCCACCATGGGCTCTGACTTAAAATTTTTAAAGAAAATAACAGCCATCTAAATCCTTTACCCAGAAGTTAATGGCTGGCATTCTCTTAGAACACAGTTTTGGGGTTTTTTGTTTGTTTGTTTTTTGGGTTTTTTTTTTTTTTGCTGTTGTTGTTTTGTTTGGGGTTTTGTTTGTTTAGGGTTTTTGTTTTGGGTTTTTTGTTTGTTTGTTTGTTTATCCCTTGCAACTTTTTTCCTTGTGGTAAATACGGGGGTCTTTGAACGTTATGTATAAATCTTCATTGTTGGTTTATTTCCTTAAGAGGGGTCTAGAAAAGAGTTACTAGTTAAGAAAGCTTGTGGCCATGGTTAAGGATGCTAATTTCATTTTGCCAAACCGCACCCCGGAAAGCCTGCACTGATTCACTCTCCCCAGCGGGGACTCAGACCCCGCCACAGATTCACAGGTTTCCCACAAAGTCCAGCTTCTACATATGTTTGGGCTCTGCCCTGTTACTTGTATGTGGCAAAATCTGCTTTATTTGTTGAAACGTGTCCAGTGTTTATCTGCACCTTTTTTTATCAAGCCTGCACTTCTATATAGAGGCTTGCACGGGGTGGGGGTGGGGGGATGGCAGCTGGGGCTCCTGCTCCAAAAGCCACCTGTCCTCTAGGCCCCTCCCCATTCCTCTGTTGCCCAGAAGGCAGTCGGGTCCTCCTGGAATCAATGTGTATGTTTGGATAGTTGCAAAGATGCCACCCTCAGAGGAGGGGCAAGATAAAGATTCAATTTCCTGCACAAGGGCCTTTTGTCCTAACAGAAGCTTCTCTCCTCAGGGGACAGATTTTTCGGTCCATTAGTGGGCCGAGCGGTTGCTCTGCCAGTAGGCTTGATCGTCCACACCTCCCGGGGGGCGGGGGTGGTGGTGGTGGCGGTCAGTGTGGTTCCTGAAGCCCACCTGTGTCCTTCCTCTTCCTGGCCTCGCCATCCCCTACCCTCATCCCCAGGCGTGGCCCCACGGTCCTGTCCACGGATTGTGGAGCCCGGGGCCAACTGGCTGCTTCCCTGGCGGCCTGGGCGAAGAACCAACTCTGACTGAGCGGCTCATTGTATGCGCCACGGGCGGTCAGCACGGAGCAGCGCAGCCAGCAGCGCAGGTAGAGCGGGGCCCCAGCTGGGTCGTGGGCGGCTGCTCCAGGGCTGGAGATCCGTGTCTGCGTGGCACCCCTAGGACCCCTGCACCCAACATCTACTTACTGCTCTTCCGTTTGTCCATCCTCCGCTGGGACTCCTACCCAGTTTCGAGATTCATACTGCCTGGGGGGTCTCCAGTCGTTTCCAATATGTTAGCACCCCTGGCTCCCCACAGGTAACTTCTAGGGTCCTGGGCTGATGTCACCGGATGTCCCTTCTTTGCTGTGAGATCATAAGAACTGAGTCAGTCCCCACGGATTCCCATGGAAGAACGACTGCCTGTGGGATGGAATTCGGAAGGGACCAGTCCTAGGAGCCTTTGTTGAGCCTGGGGAGAGAGCAGTCCTGTCCTGCTCGTGTCGCTAGGGCTAGTTCGTGAGAGAAGACCAAGATTTTGGGTAGATGGGTGATTAGGTCTCCAGGTGGGGTGTTCCATTCCAAGGAGGGATTGGGGCTGAACTAAGGGTGCAGCTGGCGGCATTTGTGGGTCTGGCAGCTTAGTGAGGGGTTGGTGGGGAGAGTAGAAAGGTGTAATGTTGTGTATTTAGAGTCTGTCCTCAGGAGCTTCGGCCCTCTTTCCCCTCTCCCATCTACTGAGCATCACTTATGAATTTAAAGGTGCTTTTCAAAAGACATGTTTTTAAAAAGCTCATCAAGAGCTTTGTCACAGAATGCTTAAGAAAAAAAAAAAAAGTTTTGGACCAGATCTAGAAAATGGGTCGGGCTGGCTTGATTCTGGCTACTCAGCCTTGAACACAGCAGTGGGCTCTCTTGGCTCTCAGTATATGTACCCCCCCCCCAACACACACACACCCAAATGCTGACTTTACTTTCCCTTCCCTCTTAAACAGGAAGCAAGAAAGTTGAGTGTCACTTAAGCAAACACTTAGAAGGAGGGCTTAAGGTTTGGGGGTTTTGAGGCCCGATTACTCTGTGTAGTCCAGGCTAGCCTGATCTCAAACTCTATCGTCTTGTCTCAGGTTCCTAAATGCTGGGATTACAGGGGTGTGCTGCCATGCTCTCAGCTAAAAAAATAAAACGTCATCTTTTTAAGATGAGGAAATTGCAGCTTGACCGGCAGGGAGAACTTGGTTGACTGGAAGCCATGAACGCATATAGGCCAGTGCTTGCACTACTGTGAATAGAAGGCTGTGTGAAAGCCCCATGAGTGGAGTGGCTGGTTAAACTCTCATTTTACCACAGAACCTGGCCCAGAGTGGTTTAGTGACTGGCTTGACACAGGATACGAACCCAGTCTGGCTCCAAAAGCTAGGCCTCCAACCATTATTTCTTGTATTCTGTGTTGTGTACACTTGTGCTGTCTCTTCCTGTGCTTGCTATCTTTGTTAGAGTCAGAGGGTCATCAAAATCTTAGGGCTGATGTGCTTGGGTTTTTCTTACAAACAGAATTCCTCTCAGGTTCACAGACAGTGGCTATGACCCAGATTTTGGAAGAATCTTGAATGCTGTAAGTCTACTACATGTTGTAAGGTGTTATTTCCCCTAGTGTCTCTAAGACAGCTTCTTGCAATTGTTAATTTTTTCAAATCAGAATATGTCCTAAGGTAGCATTTGACTATTATTGTGTGTTTTTCAATTTCTCAACTGATGCTTTTTTTTTTTAGTTATGTCATTGATTTAGGAGAATAATTTGATTTTTTGAATATGAAGTCATGGCTGTGCATGGTGGCACACACCTTTAGTCCCAGAGACAAAAATGGTCTCCCAAGTTTAAAGCCAGACCACTTACATAGCAAGTTCCAGGCCAATCAGGGCTACATATTGCAACCCTGTCTCAAAAATAAGTAAATAATAAATATTAATAAAATGATCAGAGAACATTTAGATGTTCTCTATCAATGCTCTGCAGAGAAGCACAGAAATATGCTAAATGTACAATCCCTACCTTATGTCCTGCCTGTGTTGCTATGGGAAAAGACCCTTCATAGTTTAGGATCCCTCTATCTGTATGGTTCTATGATTTCTTTGTTTGTTTTGGTTTTTTGAGACAGGGTTTCTTTGTGTAGCTCTGGCTGTCCTGGAACTTGCTCTGTAGACCAGGCTGGCCTCAAACTCAGGTCTCCACCTGCCACTGCCTCCCAAATGCTGGGATTAAAGATATACAGGATCACCTGGCTGATGTACCTTGTTTTCATTGACAGTTCCTGCCTCAGAACTCTGTCTCTAAGGCAGATCACATAAAATTGAATTGAATTTTTTCCCTAAGTCAGGTTACAGAAACTCAAATCACCCCCACCCCACCCCTGCCTTGGAGCTGCTGGTTGTTCAGAAATTATCTGACCTACCTTGTCTAAAATAGACAGTGTCATGAGGGGTCTTGCCCCATACTCCATACCCTGGAGGAAGGAATACTGCACAGAGAAGTCAAGAAGAATGTAGACCGACAGGCCTTGCTGGCTTTCCACAACCAGTGTATCATTAGACATACAGGGTAGTACTTATAAAAACCCAAAAGGGCAGAGGTCAGAGAGAATCCTTTGGAGCCATGCACCTGGAGGGGATCAGGAAGTTAGTCCTCCTTCCTCACCTGTGTGTCTCTTAATCTGTATCCTTGGTAATAAAATGATGGACATAAGTGTTCCCCTGAGTGCTGCAAGCCAGTCAAGTATATAGATTGTACTCCACAAAGGAATTGTGGGAACCCCAGTTGCTAGCTGGGCCAATCAAACAACCTTGGGCTTGTTAACTAACACCAATAGAAGAAAGAATGGTGGTGGGGACATGGTCCTTGAACTGTGGGCTCTGTCACACACTATCTCCAGGAAACTTGGCTCAGAATTGAATTGACTTAAAAGATACAGAGATGCTGCAGAATTGACCACTTGCGTCCTAACAGAATTCCCCAACAATTCTGGGGATCCCAGAGGTCTTCAGTGGTGATTGTCATATGAGAATAGGAAGAAAAAAATCAAAACTCAAAACATTTTCCTCCCAAGCAGCTGGGAATATAGCCTGTGTCACCAGGCCTGGCTTTCCAGACTGATTTTAATTCATTTCCCCAACAAATGATGATGATTTTAGACAGGGTCTCATGAAATCCAGGCTAGCCTTGGCCTCCTGATCCTCCTGCCTCTACCTCTCAAATGCTGGGATTACAAACATATGTCAGAATGTCCAGTTTTATGGCGTGCTAGGGACTAACCCCTGTGCTTCATGCTTGATAGGCAAGTACTCTAACTATTGGATAGCCCCTATCTGTTGGATAGATTCCAGAAGGCAAATCTCTTTCCTCCTGCTGCGTCTGTACTGTGCAACTGCAAGCTCCTTGGTCCTGGCAGTCACCATGCAGCTGCATGATCAGAACTGGCAGGTATGGCTGATTGGCCAGGGCCTCATATCAGAGCAGACATATCTTTTGTCACAGTCTGGCCCAGCAAACAGTCTTGAAGTTGAAGATGGGCTTGGAAACACCTTTCAGTGAATAGGAAAAGATCCTCCAAACCCATGCTCCTGACCTTCCCTGGTCTGGTGGGTACCCAAGTCAGCTTGTAGATGGACTTATAGACATGTCTTCCAGCAATAAAGGCTGGAGACCAGCAAATGTCATCCATTCCTTTTTTAACCTACTAAACATAATCTAAGATTACCAAAGAAAACCATTAGAATTGCACACAGTGTCACATGCCTGTAATCCCATCACTGGGAAGAGACAACGGGAGAAACAGGAGTTCATGTCATCCTTAGCTATGTATTTTAAGGTCAGCCTGAGATACATGAAACTCTGTCTAAAAAACAAAATAGAAACACCTATAACTTGCCCGTAGAAAAGGAAACACTACTTACTATTTGATATTATCCCTTCCATACTTCTTTTTCCATTTTCTTATGTATTCTTTGACAGCTTTATCAAGATATCATTCACATACCTTCAAGTTTGTTCTTTTGTTTTGTTTTGTTTTTTCCAGTTAGGGTTTCTCTGTGTAACAGGCCTCGCTATCCTGGAACTAGCTTTGTAGACCAGGCTGGCCTTGAACTCACAGAGATCCTCCTGCCTCTGCCTCTGAGTGCTGAGATTAAAGGTGTGCACACCACCATTCGGCAAATGCTGTTTAGAATGTATAATGTATTCAGTATTGTGAGTCAGCCACAAGTGAAAACATGTTGAATTTTGTATGTATCCACAATTTATCATTAATGCCAGATAATTCTCTTTACTTATTATTATCATTAATAATAATAATAATAATAATTGTTATTATTTTTGGTGTGTGTCTTTGTGTGTGTGCATTTGTGTGTGTGTATGTGTTTGTGTGTGTGTGTATGTGTGATGTGTTTGAATGTAGGCACATGCATGCCACAACTCACATATAGAGGTCAGAGGACAATTCTGGGGAGACATTCCTACCCTGCTATCCCTCTGGGGATCAAACTCAGGATTTGAGGCATACACAGCAAGTACCTTTACCTGCTGAACCATCTCCTTGGCCCTTGGCAGAGACTTTTTCATTGTGAGGTATACAATAATTTTGCTTATCAATTGATAGATACTTGGAATGTTTCTGCTTTGGTATTATAAATAACGCTGTTATGAAAACTCGTGAGCAAGTTTTAAGTGGACATATGTTTTCACCATTATGGGTCTATAGTCTGGCATGGAATTATTGCATCATATGCTGAGCCTGCTTAGCCCTCTGAGGGACTGCCAGACTAGCAGACGATTTTCCACAGCACCATTTTCCATTCTCGCCAGTACTGGATGAGGGTTCTGGTTTCTCTTATTTCCACTAACACCTGTAATTTTTAAAAATCCTGGCTTATACTTGTAATATCAGAACCAGGGAAATGGACCAGGAGCTCATAGTTAGCCTTGGTTACACAGCAAGTTTCTGGGCCAGCCTAGTTACATGAGACCTTGGGGGTGGGGGACTGGAAGTTCTATGTCCCTCCCTCCCTCCTTCTTTTCCCTCTCCCCATCTGGCTTAGTGCCACATGTTCCTTAGCC